TGTGTGTTATATATATTATATATGTATTATATATATTATATTATATATATGTTATATATATTATATATATGTGTGTGTGTGTTGTGTGTATAAAAATTATTAGTATAAAAATTATTATTCGCTTTTTGTTGTATACCTTGAATTTATTTGTTTTTATTTTGTTTCTTTTATTTATTTATTTATTTATTTATATGTTTGCTTCTTTTATTTATTTATTTATCTACTTATGTTTGTTTCTTTTATTTATTTATTTATTTATATGTTTGCTTCTTTTATTTATTTATCTATTTATATGTTTGTTTCTTTTATTTATTTATTTTTGTTTTGCAATTCTAATTACCTGAAGTCCTCTCAATACTCAATATATAGTATTACTTCTTGGCAATTTCTACGCTTACTTTAAAATTTAAAAATTTTACGCTTATTTTAAAATTTATAAAAGTCGTGGAAAGCGACAAGGGGATTAACAAGTTCTTTCTTTCCCCCCTCAGACGTTTGTCGTCAACGAGCATCCATTGTCAGGCGGAACCAATCGAATTTTAACCATTTCGTCTCGGATATTTACCACGCGACTCGACTCGTGTAACTAATTACTCGCGAGCGAATGTACGACGTCGAGATTCTGTGTCCCGCGAGATCGTTCTCCACCGATTGTTTCTCGTTTCTCGAGCTGGCAACGTTTTGGTTACGCAACGCGCGACAAGTCGACGTTTTCTTCATTGACAAATTCCGTCGGCGATACATAACGCGCAACACGAGGCGGGAAACGTGCGATTTGCATTCAAATTGTCACCGACACCTCTTCGATTTCTGCGCCTTTTGTCGTTCTTTCCTTTCCTTCCCTTTCTTTTCCTTTTCGAGAACAAAAGGAACAAAGTAACAAACGACTGACAAAATTTCATTTGCGTTGAAATTTGAGTTTCAGCAACGCATTTGAGTGCGAACAAAATATTTCTTTTTCTTCCACGCAACAGCAGCGTGTGTCCTAATCGGCTCATAAGACAGGATTATAAATAGGCGGTTAACCCATTGCGCTGGCAACTGATTTGCGGACCATAACGAGCGACCGAAATAATTCGTCCTTCTTTTGAATTCATCGATGTATCACTGGATAAAAATTACTAAGAAGTAATAAATGTATTATTTGTGTTGCCTGGCTTATATTTTAATATACTTAAAACTGAAGAAATGTTGCAATTTTGGGACAAAAAAATTCTCGACGTTCGTGTCTCGCTGTTTCAGCGCAAGAGGTTAACCACTTGAACTGGCAACTGATTGCGGACCATAACGAGTGACCAAACCATATACAATAATTTGTCGCTTTCTTTTTGAACTCGTCAGTATGGCATCGCTGGAAATTATCGAGAAGTAATAAATTTATTATTTGTTTTACTTAAATATATTTAAAACTGAGAAAATATTGCAATTTTGGGTTAACCACTTGATTGCGGACCATAACGAGTGACCAAACCGTACACAATAATTCATCTTGATTTTCAATTCGTCGGCATATCACTGGATAGAAATTATTAAGAAGTAACAAATTTATCATTTGTTTTGCCTGGGTACTTAATACTTAAACATACTTGAAACTCAGAAAATGTTGCAGTTTTAGAACAAAATATTCTCCACGTTCGTGGCACGTTATTCCAGCGCAAGAGGTTAACTATTTGAACTGGCAACCGATTGCGGACCATAACGAGTGACCAAACCGTACACACAATAATTCGTCTTCCTTTTGAATTCATCACTGGATAGAAATTACTACGAAATAATAAACTTATTATTTATGTTGCCTCGGTTATATTTTAATATATTTAAAACTGAGGAAATGTTGCAATTTCGGGACAAAAGATTCTCGACGTTCATGGCACGTTATTCCAACGCAAGAGGTTAACCACTTGATTGCGGACCATAACGAGTGACCAAACCGTACACAATAATTCGTCTTCCTTTTGAATTCATCACTGGATAGAAATTACTACGAAATAATAAATTTATTATTTATGTTGCCTGTGTTATATTTTAATATATTTAAAACTGAGGAAATGTTGCAATTTTGGGACAAAAGATTCTCAACGTTCATGGCACGTTATTCCAACGGAAGAGGTTAACCACTCGATTGCGGACCGTAACGAGTGACCAAACCGTGTGCAATAATTCATCTTCCTTTTCAATTCATCGGTATGATATCACTGGACAGAAATTATTGAGAAGTAATAAATTTATCATTTGTTTTACTTAAATATACTTGAAACCGAGAAAATGTTGCAATTTTAAGGAGAAAAAAAATTCTCGACGTGCGTGGCACGTCATTCCAGCGCAACAGGTTAAATCGCGTATTATAGCGCGGGGAGCGTGCTGTCTGTCGGAAAGTAAAGTATCAAAAGAGACAGAACAAGAGTCACATTAGCCGATCCGATAGGGGGAAAAGATTCGAGGCGAGCCGCGAGTAGTAGGTTGTCGGAGCCTCCAGGGCAGAATTGCACCATCTCCGATCCGGTGAGTTAGACCCCCTTGGGCGAATCAGCGGCCTTATTTACCCTTCTACCAACGACGAGCGCCGCCGGCACTCTTTGAGATCGGTCGCAACGTCACGTGTAAAATGGATACACGCGTGTGCATACGTAACGCGTAAAAGGCGTTGCGCGCGCCCGTGCAAAGAATATTTTCGCCTTTTCGCATCTGCTACAACGGCAGCATCTATCTTCTGTCATCTCAAAAGAAGTCTGATGAAAAGAATACTAGAGCTGCACTCTAGAACTGTTTCATCGAGCAACCGAATGATGAGTTGGAATTAAATTCGACGATAATCGAATGGGTAAAGTTCAAGGTTCGAATTATTCATTTAATTAATTAATTCGATAATCACTGCAGGAGAATTCAATGGGACTGAATGTTTTGAGAAATTAATCGGGAAATTAATCATTAACGATAATGATAAGTTAAATAAATAGATCTCTTGTTAATGAAAAAGAATAAACCGAGAAGGAAATAATCTAGAAGAATTTATAAATATAGTATAAAAATTGTCAATCTTAGAAAAATTATTATATCAGAGATTGATTTTTTATTTATGTCGATGTAGAAAATTTTTTTAAATAAAATTGCAATAAAAATATTAATTAAGGAATTAATTTCCTCTGTCGGACTAATGACTAATGAAATTTGTCGCCGGACACTAGTATTTAGAGTACACGCGTATGTACACAGTAAATCTGTGCTTTTAATTTTTACTAGCATGCATTTGCTGCGTCGATGTAATAATAATTATGAATGATCGATACATGGCGCGATACAAAACGTAATTTTACCAAACGTAATTGAATACGTCATCATTTTTACTCGATGGAAAGCAAGTTGCAACATGGAGATCGCGTGATAAAAGAAAAAAACAAAAATTAAGGTACACTTTTGAACGCCTAGTTCTAAGATAGCTCGATTAATATTGCCTCTCGCGCAGGTTCGCTTCTGTTTGCTCGCCAACGTAAACGCGAAAGTAAACGCAGACGGGTAAATACTTACGGGCCGCCGACCACCTGAACTAAGAATGGACTTAGCCATCTAGCTAAACACTTCGGAGTTTAATCCACCCTCTCGATCTCGTTACCTCGTCTTCAGCGAGGAAGATAAAGAGGAAGCGGCTGAATTAATCATTCGTTCGGCGAGTTGTTTCGATCTCCTCGAGAGTTAACCTTCCAAGTAAAACAAAACGAGAGACGTTCGAGTAGGGGGACGAAAGATAAATTTTCATTTTGTTTGTTTGTCAGTTTGAGAACGAGTTTCAACAAAGTGGCGAAATTTAGATCAGATTTAGTACAATCCCTTTCTTCCCTTTTTAACACTGATGACTAAAAGTGTGAAAGTTTTAAAATTTGAAAATCTAAAGTTTGAAAATTTAAAAATTTAATAGTTCAAAAATTTGATTGAAAATTGAATTAAAGTTCTGAACTATTAAGTTTTTAAATTTTTAAACTTTAGATTTTTAAATTATATATATATATACCTCGAAGTTAAAAAAATTTTCAAATTTTTGAACTATTAAATTTTTAAATTTTAGATTTTTAAATTTTTATATATATATATATATAAAAATTTAAAAATTTATAATATATAATATATAATATATAATATAAAAAATTTATAATATATAATATATAATATAAAAAATTTATAATATATAATTTATAATATAAAAAATTTGTAATATATAATATATAATATAAAAAATTTATAATATATAATATATAATATAAAAAATTTATAATATATAATAATAATATATATATATACAGGGTGGCCACTGAAAAACTGAAGGGTTTGAAAAAGTCACAACTAGTACATTTTCAATTTTTCTAATTTTCTCTTTTCGTAGCTTTCACACGTACACAATACTGAAAAAAATCCATTAATTATATTTACCAAAATATTAACAAAATAGTAAAAAAAATTAAAATAAAACACGCATCTGTAAAAGTTACTTTTGTTTTACGTCCTGACCACTACTCTGTACAAAGTGCCGGTACGTTTAGCGTTAAGAAGCAAGATCTGAATCGATCAATAGACTCTCGATGAATTCATCGTCTTCCTCTCCGAACGAACCGTGGTGAATTTATTTCGATTGTTACGCAACGATGCCCAGAGTCACGGTTATGCGAACCGTATAACCCGTTCTATTCTAAATCGTCGTAATGGCGGTTCTCTGGCAAGGGGGGAGAGACTCGACGTCAGTCATTGAGCGGCAGGCTCGCGCTCGATCGTTTTCGTTCTCTGAATGACTACCTTTTCTTTTCTTCTTTTTTCTTTTTCTTTCTGAAATGTCAATGAATGCAGAGGAGTAAGAGTCGATCTCCTTCCACGTCGTTTGTAAAACTGGTAAAGTCCAAGTTGTTGAACTAAGGAATCGAGTTCGACGAAGTGGTAATTTTGATAAACTTTGCCTACGTCTAATTAAATAGGCGTGTTTGTCTAGTTGTTCTCATTCTCGTCGTAGTTAATTATCACTCTGGGAGCAGCGTTCGAGAATATCCCGTTATGTTCGGCCGCCGAACGGTAGAGAAAATGGTCGATTCTCGGGGGAAGGAGAAATCACGCGGTGATATCGAGAAACGCGGGTCGTAGATGCGTGAAATTTATCGTCGAATTGTCTTCGGGCCGGTATGGAGATTGAAACGAGTTGCGAAAGTTTGGCATTGAGCAGAGAGGAAAATAACGCATCGAGGAGAGAGATAAAATAGGTCACGTTTGAGAAAGATTTACTTCGTTTAATGGCACATGTTACGATAAAATGTTGCTCGTCGAGTTTATTCGCTTCGGTGCTTTACACTTCGGCTCGACAATACTCTGCACCGCTGTCTCGCTACTCGCGACCGACAGCCGCGTGTCATTTACTTTTTTCACCAGACGGTGAGAAAAACGCGTCATACTTTTTCGGGACTAAGCGAGTCGCTGATCCCGAACCAGACATCTAAACATCATACCTACTGGCAAACGTGGCGAATTATGTGAGAATTAAATTATGTGAATTATGTAAGAAGGAAAAAAAAAATTACCAAAACTTGTGAGACAGCCACGTGGAGTTAAGTTAAGGTAATTCACCTTTCTTTTTCAAGGTGAAAATAAAAATGTATTAAAAGCGATACGAAGTTATCGCGCGACGACGATTTATACGATTTATACTTCATAAATACCTATCTTTCGTTGCGAAACTGTACGACTAAGATTTTTTTCATAAAAAAGTAATCGACGCGACAATTATCATCTGGTTTCTCGCACGGGCGAGTTTTATTTAAAGAAACCCGCTCGCGACGAGACAGAAAATAAATATTTAATGCCAATCAATCGATTATAGATCGACAAACATAACTCCAATTATGGTATCAGTTTGGACATTATTTGAAAATGTTATTTTAATTTTCGGTTTGAAGCTCATTATCGACTGAGTATTGATAAATTTTCGTAATATATTTCAGAATCGAAAGAAGACTTTAGAAAGACTTCTGAAACTACTATATTATTATATATTGTTACTATTATTATTATTATTATTATCCTTGGAATAATCTCGATTCCAATTGTGGTATCAGTTTGGACTTTATCTCAAAATGATATTTTAATTTTCGGTTTGAAGCTCATTATGAAGCTCATGAAAATTACTATATTATTATATACTACCATTATTATTATTATCTTTGGAACAATCTTGATTCCAATTGTGGTATCAGTTTGGCCTTTATCTCAAAATGTTATTTTAATTTTCAGTCTGACGAAAGCTCATTATCGACCAAGTATCGATAAATCTTCTCAATTTATTTCAGAATTAAAAGAAGCTGGGAAGATTTCTGAAACTATCTGAAAATTACTATATTACTATATACTATTGCTATTATTATTATCCTTGGAACAATCTCGATTCCAATTGTGGAATTAGTTTGGACTTTATCTCAAAATGTTATTTTAATTTTCAGTCTGACCGAAGCTCATTATCGACCGAGTATTGATAAATCTTCTCAATTTATTTCAGAATCGAAAGAAGCTGGGAACATTTCTGAAACTATCTGAAAATTACTATATTACTATGTACTATTACTATTATTATTATCCTTGGAACAACCTCGATTCCAATTGTGGAATTAGCTTGGACATTATCTCAAAATGTTATTTTAATTTTCAGTCTGACGAAAGCTCATTATCGACCAAGTATTGATAAATCTTCTCAATTTATTTCAGAATCGAAAGAAGACTTTAGAAAGATTTCTGAAACTATCTGAAAATTACTATATTACTATATACTATTACTATTATTAGTATCCTTGGAACAATCTCGATTCCAATTGTGGTATCAGTTTAGACTTTATCTCAAAATGTTATTTTAATTTTCAGTCTGACCGAAGCTCATTATCGACCGAGTATTGATAAATCTTCGCAATTTATTTCAGAATCGAAAGAAGACTTGATGAAAGATTTCTGAAACTATCTGAAAATTATTACAAATATCCTAAAACTAAGGTCACATTTGTAAAGTGAAAATGGAAGATTACTTCAAGTTCCGGCGAAATTGACATCGCGATAATTTGTGAGACAGCGGATTGAAAAGAAGCGATCGTAAAAAGATTGAACAGGCCGCTTTCGACTCGAACGATGCACGTGCGGGCCTTATCGACCGAACGAATTAATTCTCAATTTGCTAATCGAGCGAAAGGAAAAAAAAGAAGAAAAAAGAGAAAAGGAAAGGGAGAGAGAGAGAGACCGCGTACGAATGAACGAAAGCTAGTAAGGTGAATGGAATCCCCTCCCCTTTCTCTCTGTTCCCCATCGCGCACGTGTGTATTTCAGGCACACGATTCTTACGGAACCGAGAATCGAGCCGAGAACGAGCGATCACTTTTCTCCATTCAATGAGATCGCGGACAAACGCGAGCTGGCGAACGATTTGTCAAACGATCGGTGATACACGAATTGGCGCGGAAGCCGAAAACTTTGTTACTTCAAAGTGTCGTACGTTCTTGCCGATTTTGTTTCTTCTTGAATCTTGATACTTCTTGAAGAATTTTTTTTTTTGCTTTTGTTTCAAAGTCTTGAAAAATCTTTCTTTTGAATCTTTACGAAGGGTACTCTTGAACTTCACTCTTGAAGAATCTCTTTTCCTTTCTTTCGTACATTATTCACGCCTGTTTTGCTCTTGAATCTTGAAGAATACTCTTGATACTTGTTGACGAATCTTGAAGAATCTTTTTTTCCTTTCTTTCTCACCCCACTATGTAGGTATTACGCACATTCTTGCCTATTTTGTTTTTGAATCTTGAAGAATATTGTCTTGACAATTACCGAGGAATCTCGAGGAGCCTTTTTCTCGAATCTCGACGAAGAGTACTCTCGAAGAATCTTCTTCTGAATCTCGATAAAGAATACTTCTCAAAGAATCTCCTTTTCTTTCCTTCTCACCCCACTACGTATGTAGGTATTATATTGCGCAATCGTTATTACGAAATCGTGGAAAGAAAGCTGCGTTACGATTTCCGGGGCGCGGTGACGGTTTATAATTTTGCACGTCGACTCGGAGAGTCAAGCTAGTGGCTTGATCATTATCTTGCCTAGCAAAGCGTAGATACGCAACAATTGCGTACGCGTGGAATAATTAGAGGGAGAGACTTACGTGAACCAAGCTGGCGACAGCGAGACCAAAGGTGAAGGCGATGTGCACCACCGTCGGAGGATTGTCCGCGGTCCACGTGATGCAGGACGCGCAGCCGATCAGCACCAGGAGAAGCGTCCCGAGGGTCTCGGCGAACAGCTTCAACAGAAACTCGAACTTCATCACCTCCTCCAGTCCGACGAAGTCTTTCACACCTGGCATGGGATCAAGCAAAGGAAAAAAGAAGAAATGAGAGATAACACTATAATTATTATAATTATATTATAATTATTATAATATTATTATTATTATATTATTATTATAATTATTACAATATTATTATTATTATATTATTATTACAATTATATTTATAATTGTTATGATATTATTGTTACAATTATATTATAATTATTATATTATTATTATTATTATTATATTATTACAATTATATTAAAATTATTATAATATTATTGCTATTATACTATAATTATTATAATATTATTGTTACAATTATATTATAATTATATTATAATATTATTGTTACAATTATATTATAATATTATTATTACAATTATACTATAATTATTATAATATTATTGCTATTATACTATAATTATTATAATATTATTGCTATTGTACTATAATTATTATAATATTATTGTTACAATTATATTATAAATATGTTATTATAATTATTATTCGAAATATAATTATAATAACATATTTATAATATAATTGTAACAATAATATTATAATATTATATATATATATATATATATACTGTCTGAAATAATTTTTAAATTATGCGTCTAATGAAAAATTGTCTAATGCAGAAGTTGTATGGTTTGAAGGAGGTGGCAAAATACAGCCTATCAATTTTTGGTGTGCGGTTGAAGGTCATCCTAATTTTTTCAAACGGATCATAGATTTTCTTTTTCATCGTCAATCGAAAGAATTATTCAATTCCAAGTAAAAACGTAGCGAGCCGCGTTGGTCGTAAAACCAAATGGCCAAGGTTAGAGATATATTTCATGTGAATTTTCGTGATCGTCGTCGCTAGAACATTTATTACATTTCTCTTGCTATTGTTACTGAAGTTATGTCATTTTCAAAACTATATTAAAAAGGGACGACGAGCTTCAAACTTCAAAATTAGCTGAAGGAAATCATTGAAGATGATGGAAAAGAAAGGCTGAAAGTATGAAAAGTTACAGAATTATTGCCTATTATTAAAAGTTTATTGGATTTTTCTTCCTTGTGATGCAAATCGTGTTAAATAACAGAAAGTCGAAGATGATGTTTTTTCACTGTCTGTCCCTGTTGAGACGTCAGATTTCGCGTCTTCGAGTATGTATGAACGAGCGAACACGAATATTTGTACGCCAGTTTCTGTTCCATTTCCAAGACGATTGTCATCTTCGACAAAGAAACTTCGTCTTAATCACCGAAGCACAGACGTGAATTTTTAATTCCAACGTACCGAGGTCTTTCTTTTTCCCTTTTTGCAAGAGAAGATAATAATTGCACGCGAACAAGAGGGAAACGAGAAGTTTTCGATAGCCGCGGTGTTTTGGAAAAGCAAAGAATTACGCTGGATTGCAATTACGTTTCTCTAGGGAAGAAGCTAGAATGATATTCCAAAGACGTGTTAACGATACGTTCGCGTACGATTAATATATATTGCGCGAATGTTCTTCTGTGTAATTTATTATCGAACCGACAGCCGGTGATGTGTGTGTGTAAACCAGCAGGAATTATTATATCCAGAAGCACACGTGTACGTATGCACATACGCGTGAAAAGAATTGCCAACGATCTCGAGATAAGCGTTCTTCTTCACTCGATTTACAGTAGAATTTGAATTTATCGCGTATTCGATTCCCGTATATGTATATCGAAGAGCAAACCAAGTTGATTTATTAATCCTTTTCCGATGATACAACAAATCCCCGTAATCCTCGTAATCTTCCCAGTTACCGTGACTAACTTTATCGTATTGTCGTTTTCATTGAAAAAAAAAAAAAAAAAAAAAAAAAAAAA